TTAATACTTTTAGAAACGAGAAATACTTTCAATTATAAAATTAGTAACTTCCTTTGGAAAATTAATTCTTTGATGATATGAAGGTGATCATACAAGATGCTATAGGATGCTATGATCATACAATCATCTTAATGTGTCACATACGTGCCTCTCTGGACTTTCCAAGCTTTTTATCCTCCACGACCGGTTTTAGTTAATTTATTACACATGTTCATTAATTTATTAGGTTATTATATTTTATATTTTGTTATTCAATTTTCCCACTTTAGAAAAAAGTGTTTTTAATTTTTTACATTCACAAAACAGGTTTTGCCCCGACAAGATAAAAGGTAATATATATTTTTACCTGTTAAGTAATTGTCAATTAACAAAATATTAGAAATGTTCTATGAAGAATCAAAAATGTAAATGAATTATACAGTACATAAAATGTACCTACTTAAATTAAAGTATAACAAAATTTTAAAGAAAAAAATATGATAAGTTACCACAGATAGCAATGTAATATTAACAACGATCTAACATCTACCTTTCACCGCTCGTGGCCATGGGAAAATTAATTACCAATTAAATACACAATAAAAGAAACTTAAGCACGTTTATTATAATAATAGGATCATGCAATTCAAATAACTTTAGTATAACTAACTTACACGTACAGCTTCGCCCACGTTTTTAATGTTTATTTTAAACATTATGATTATTATCTTTTAGGAATTTGATATTACTATTGCTATGTTTTTCTTTTCTTATTTATACTTCTTACTTAATATAATAATAATAATATTATTATCAACTCCAGCTAAATTTCTAAGAAATTAAGTAAAATTCTAAGAAATCTATTGTTAATTGACACGCCGGCGTTCCCGCGATATTGGAGCGAATATAGAGGTAAAGTTTGTGACTTTGTAACGTTGTAGGAGTAATTTCTGGATTTACTGAACCGATTTAGATGAAATGTATGAGAAATCTACACTAACATTTAAAACGTTCCTAGGGAAAACCCCGAACGGAGCGAGCATGAGTTGCTAGTCAACAGATAAATCTCTTGTTAAGTGTCAAATGGGTTTATAAGAACAATATTTTGATTTTATCATCTTATCAGTTAACAACCGAGTCGAATTTATATAAGAAACTAGCGACTCACCCTCGCTTCACTCAGATTCCTCCCCTAGGTACATTTTGACGCTTAGTATGGAATAGATTTTTTTTCTAATTTGTTTTCGTGATTTGTTCTGATGTTTTGATAGTTATTCTGCTAGTCGGGGTGAAGACAAATCCAAGAAAACAATGATCATAAAATTCGGTCAGTTCTCGACTTATAAGTGTTGTAAGAAACCTGACTTTGTTTTTTATATATAGACTAGCGACTCAGCCTCGCTTCGCTCAGTTTCTCAGAGATGAGATATTTTCTCGCTGTAAAAAGTATTCTATATGTTGACCCGGATAACCAGCTACCGTCATACCAAATTTCATCAAAATTCCTCCAGTGGTTTTTCCGTGATGCGGTAACAGACAGACGGACAGACAAAAATTCTAAAAACTATAGATTCGGCCTCTGTATCGATAATAATGTCTATTTCAATAAGATTTTCCAAAAAATATTTAATATACAGATTCGGCTTAGTTACAATTTTATTATATGTATATATATGTAATATGTCAAACGCTATTTTTGAATTTCTGTTATGTTGATTGCGCCATAATTGTAGATTGAAATATGTCAAACAGTTGACACAACTGTGTAACATATTTGCTATTTGTGGTTCTCGGCAAATTAACTAACATTGTTTTACTTAAGTGAATCCGCTATTTTTTCTACAAATATTCATTTCCAAAATATGTAAAGCACTTTTACAAAGTACATTACATGTTTGTGATAAAATTTTGGCCCCAAAGAGTATATTTTTGTTTGTTATATTTTTTGTGAAGCTTTAAATTATCCTTTGTTAGTAGATATCATTTTAAGTAGAGATGACAAAAATTAAGGGACTAGCGTTTTTTAAAAAAGAATGAATCTATTGAATATTATAATGATGAAAAATTTAAGACTCAGTACAGCATCACAAAAGCTGTAATAATGTTACTGGTGAATACGATAGACATGTTTCGATGTATAATTTTTAATACATATTAAACTGTGACAGTAAAAGTATTGTACATGAATGTGTAGACATTTAACATAAACTTTTTGTATCGGTATTTTTTATGTATTTTATTGTATCTTTATTTTTGTAGCTGTATTGTTTAAAATAAAACATTTTCCGTACTTGTTTTTGAATTAGATCTAAAAGATTACAAATTTTCATTTCAGTGAAATTTTAGTTGAAAGGGGAACGCTTTAGATCATTTTATATTAACGTGAAAATTTCGATAGCAATAATAATTTGAAATTTCGTGGCATTATCAGTCAACCATGACAGCAGATAACTTAAGTAGTTTTTTGTCCTAATACACGGTATATTGACCTATTTAGCAGTTTAGAATGAAGAATTGTACGATATATATGTATATATGTAATTTTAACAGTGTGAGCTTAATTAAAAAGAAACTACATGTCAAATTAAAACGATCATTGATTATTTCTCTGAACAATATTTTAGGAATTTAACTGATTTGACAGAAATGTTAAATTAACAGACACATTATAATCAGCCATTCTAAAATTGGGTGTAAGACGTTTTAAACTTATATGTTGTATAACGTATAGCATTTAGACATCTGGCAATGGCACTATCACTATAGCGGATTCGACCCTTGAATGAGGCAAACATTTTAATGAGCGTAACCGAGAGTTAATGGCGCAAAGTTACTACATATTTTTCTCTTTTGACTTTTGTACCCAAACTTTTAAACACTTAACATGAGTATTTTTTAAATCTTGTAAGTGTTTTTGCGTTATTGGCACACTTTTCAATATAGACATTTAAAGATCTTAATCTAAGATAATAGCAGCTAAAACCTATATATATATTCAATTATATACTTATTCAATTTTTATTCGCATTTTGTTTCATTACGTTTTTTCTAGCAACTTTTATAAAGTTAAAAGTTATTAAGCAAAACTTGATTTATTTAAGGAAATAATTCGTACTAAAACGTATAGGGATAGAATAAAAGTATATTATTTCCATATAGAATACTAGCAGACCCGGCCATGCGTTGCTGTGGCATACATATAAAAATCGTTAGTTTTGCAATAAAAAAAGTAAATAATCGGGATAAGAACTATCTTTTAAGTTGGAACACATCACAAATTAAAAAAAATACGTTAAAATCGGATTAGTAGTTTTGGAGATCATCCTGGACAAACATCGTGACACGGAAATTTTATAAATTAAAATTATATAATATTTTAAGTTATCAATTCTTTAGAAAGATGTTAGGAATCAGCTTGAGCGGTAACATAACCGCTCGAAACTCAAAGGGAAATCAGAGATTAAAATTGATAAAAATGTCAAACAACGAGATGTCGAGATATAATACTCACTATTGAAAGATAGTTATCTTACTGATAACTGCACCTGTTGGTATAAACTTGGTTAGCAATGAATATGTTAATACAAGTTGAGGAGGTAGTTTACTTCTGACGTGGCCTCGTGATCCAAGATATGAAACCGTGTTAAACCGGTAATATCGTAACATTTAAATATCAATAAGCTCTTGGATAGTATACGAAATTCAGGTAAAATATTTTATTTTCTAATATTATATAATAAAACAAAGCAACAAACTCTAAAGAAGTTTATTTCTTATGTAAATTTTATTTGTGTATCTTTGAACACATAAATATTAATAATTAATATTATATTTGATTTTATTTAACATATTAATTAGTATATCATATATAGCTTATTCGAATATTAACTTTATGATACTTGGGATAGGTATAAAGAATTTTTCTTGAGCCTAAATTATCGGCAATTTTTTTTAATAAAAAGGTTGACCTCATATGGGAATCGAACACGTGAACTGGGACTTAACATCCAACGCTCTCCACAGTTACTTGACTACCTTGAAATTATTAATCAGCTTGCACTAGCATTCTTATCGCTTAGGCTATAATAGCACCTTGTTTCTTATTAAGTCAATTGAATGGAAAATACCTAAAAAATTTGGGCATAATTTATAAAAAAACTTATTTTTTTTTAGTATTTATCGAGCTTAGTGTGAGTTTCATATTGTGCTTAGTTTAAACACCTTTTTACCAATAGAATAGAAATTAAATTGTAAATAAGATTTTTTTTCAATTCGGATTCCAATTTTTATACTTTAAACGTTCATCTGACTAATCAGTTCGTAATCATTAATTATGTATAACTAGCGACTCACCCTCGCTGCGCTCAGGTTCGTCCCTAGGTACGTTTTGACGCTTAGTATGGAATATATTTTTTTTAATTTTATTCTCGTTAATTTTCCGATGTTTTTAGAGTTATTCTGCTATTCGTAGCGAAGACAATTCCAACAACAAAAAGATCATAAAATCCTCGAGTTATAAATCTTGTAACAAACCCGACTTTATATATACATATATATATATATATATATATATATATATATATATATATATATATATATATATATATTTTCTAGTAGGTACATGTTCATCCATGTACATGAAGCCTTTCCTGTCATTTAACTATACATAACAATTTTTCTTCTGCTTACATCAAATATGCGTATGCGATCTATTATAATTCCAAAGTAGTCATGATCAGATAGAATTTATTAACGAAGTGCCTATCGATATAGCAAAAAATATTATGTATTCAAGTTGATAATTGTATTTAAATAGTTCAACTATTATATCCAAATATAATTTTTAACATGGTAAATGCTTACAATCGTTCCTTCCATATGATATATAGTTGACGAGAAACTAACAAATCTGAAAAACGATTGCTTAAAATAAATAATTATAATTATACTTTTCCTTAATATAACAAAAGAAAGATTTCAGATATCAACAAAATAATTCAGAGATAATATTTTATTTTCAGGTCGACAAAGGTCACTCTTGGCGCTTTAATTTTCGTATTCTACGTTGCAATGTTACAAGGATGGCGACTAAAGGTGTCAAAACGTAAGTCCATCGTTCACCGGATTCCATGTAGGTCGAGTGGAATCTTATACTGATAAATAACTCGGTACAAATAAATAATCAATACTGTTTATTGCGTCATTATTGTAGAAATGTAAAACTTTATTATTTAAATACGAGTACAAATAAGTATTACGGATTAACAATTTTCAAAAATTATCAATATGCTGCGATTGATATCAACATCATATAAAGAAAAAATGGAACATATATTAGTTTTTTACATTGGCATAGACAACCCTGGAGAACATGATTCGACACAGGGAAAAACTTGATTGGACTATAACGTAGTTTGCCAGGTATCGATCAATATACTCGTAGGATATGGCATCTAGTTTTTGATAGTGAAGCACTAAAACTTGAATTGGAAAACATATTGCTAGCTCTATGGTAGGGACAATATCGGTAGAATGAAATAAAGTTGAAAATGGTGTTTACCCGCTTATGTATTAGTTACACAAGAATGTCTAGACGCTAGGTAAATGAAGCAAAGCACTATATACACTAACTTTATTAAGACGTTTCATTGTATAGAATCGATATAATTTCGACTTTCGCTATCACCTCATGTAGACAATACACAAACATACACAAAATCGTATACATACTATATGAAAACGTTAGCGACTTACTCTGGCTTCTTTTTAGCGCATACATAGATGCCTTATAAGAACAGCTTATTTCTCCATGTCATAGTCCGACTGTGTACTAATATCTTTCCAAATCACTTTACCCGTTTTAACGTGCAGAAGTACCAAACATACACACATACAAAATGACTTATTTACTTTTAGTTCCATTAATATATTATATTTTTAAACAACTTTTTATTTCTTTGCTTAGTGTTCATAATTCCCCAGCGGTATGTCCTCGGGATTATGGGACTGCTGGCTGTTTGCAATGCGTACACCATGCGTGTCTGCTTGAACCTCGCTGTCACGCAGATGGTCAATAATACCAAGAATGAAGAAGCACACTTCGATCCTGAAGCATGTCCCGATGATAGTGAACTATTCGCTAATGGAACTGTTTCACTTAAACCAGTAAGTTGATATGATGTTATATTACTACGTTAGCAAAATCCTTAAACAAAATAGCATAAATTTTCCGAAAAGTATAATGGTAGTGGTGATTTACCTTCACTACATATTATAAAACAAAGTCCTCCATCTGTCTGTCTGTCTGTTTGCGATAAACTCAACTGCTCTTGCATCTAGTTCATTACATGCTGTTTTCATCAATGGATAGAGTGGTTCTCGAGGAAGGTTTTAGTACATCATTTGTTATTTTTTTATATACATTGGCTAAAATATAACGATATTTGTCAGAAAAAAATAAGCCGTCTGGGAGCATTCAACGAAAACGCTGCCCTTTGAGATATAACAAAATAATGTATGGTGGAATTGTGTATCTTATATAGGTCTACAGAAAAGTCCGCGATGGCATATGTCTATTTCTTAAGGATAACATACTATATCCATTTTAGTTTAAAACGTACCTAGGGACAAACCCGAGCGAAGCGAGGGTGAGTCGCTAGTTTTTAATATAATTTAAAGAAAATTAATTATACATACATAATATATCCTATTGCGCTAGAATAATTTTTATTATAAAGTAAAATTATTATATAGGTTCGTTCGAACCTATCGTCATCGTTAAAAAAATGTAGCCGTCACAGATTGAAGTGGTGCTTGGCAATGCCGCTTGTGTACAGTATAAGTGATCCATGGTCATTGATACAGTTATGTAAAAAAATGTAAAGCCTATATAAGGATAAACAACTACTAAATTTCATAATATGTCAGATCCAAAAGTTAAGCTGATATGTATGTAAAATATATTATTTGTAGCTAAAATGACTTTTATTTCTTAGCAAACATTTAATTTTTTAACCAAAAGTATAATAAAGGATCTTATTTTTCCTCTACAGCACGCTATCTTCGACTGGTCTGAATCGACACAAGGACTTATACTTAGTGGCTTTTACTATGGATATGCAATCACACAAATCCCTGGTGGATACTTAGCTGAGAGGTACGGCGGTAAATGGACGTTAGGAATTGGTCTTCTGAGTACAGCTATCTTTACTCTACTAACTCCCGTAGTTGTAAAAGCTGGAGGTGCAACATGGCTGTTTATACTTCGTGTCTTACAAGGCATGGGCGAGGTAAATAATAATTCATAACCATGGAGATATAATTTAAAAAGTCATTTTACTTTTAGTAATTTAATATATAAATTGGAATTATTAAATAGATACATACATATTTATAATAGGCAGGTTTAAATTCATTAAATTCCTTAAAAAATACTATTACTGCTACATAGCTTTTGGTAATTCTAATGCTTAACTGCTGGTATGAAGGGAAAGGCAAAACAACGAAATAACATTTTTGTTGGTCTGATTATTACGTGTGTGTGAATGCTAGACCGAACTGAGTTCAAATATAGTTAAAGATATAACCCGACGCTTTTAGTAAAAAAAAGTCAATTCTTATTAAAATCTGTCAAATAATATCATTATGAAATCACTGCCGAGTGCATAAGCAAAGTTTGCTTAGGGTTAACATCTTTACGTAAAGAAGCCACAGATGTTATTTTTAACCGACTTCAAAAAGGAGGAAACGATTTAATTTTTTGTTGTAATATGTTATTCGATATCTTCGCCAATTGTAAATCGATTTTTATATATTTTTTAACGAATACTTCATAAAATCAAGGGTAGAATAATTAGTTTAAGTAATTTTAATATCTTTATCTCTTAAAAAGTAATAATAAGTAATGTTACTTTTCAGGGTCCAACAATGCCAGCTTTAATGATAGTGCTCGCTCGGTGGGTGCCACCTCATGAGAGGTCACGACAAGGTGCTTTAGTATTCGGAGGAGCACAAATAGGAAATATTTTTGGTTCATTCATGTCAGGTTTCTTGATGGCAGGAGGTGGTGATTGGGCTAACGTATTTTACTTCTTCGGCTGTTTTGGAATTATGTGGTTTATTGCTTGGGTACGTATTATAAACATAAGAAAAAGTTCAATCTTATATTAATTTAAGGCATTCTTGATCAAGTAAATTATTTGTGAAAAAGTTATTAAGTATTTAATGGTGCTTATCTTTAAAGGGAAAAGTATAAATGTACAAATCCTTATATGTTTACTAGCATTGCCCGCGGCTCCGCCTGCGTTCAGATGACCAAAAACCAAATATTTAGGTTTTACATATTAGTATACTTTTACATTGCATATATTGCATGCATGTATTTTTTCTCAGAAATGAGATATTTTGCCGCGGTAAAAAGTATTCTATATGTTGACCCGGATAACCAGCTACCACCATACCAAATTTCATCAAAATCCTTCTAGTGGTTTTTCTGTGATACGGTAAACAGACAGACAGACAGACAGACAAAAATTCGGATTCGGCCTCTGTATCGATATTCGATAATAATATTTATTTCAATAAGGTTTTCCAAAAAATATTTAATGTACACAATGGCTTAGTTACAATTTTATTACATGTATAGATTACGGAGATTTCATGAACTAGAAATTTAAAACAAACAGTAAATAACTATTTTTATCAATAGTCTTCCATACTTTTGCTAATGTCGTTATATAATTTTACTTCCTTATAATATATCTTCAGCCATAATAGGAAACTATAGAACACGACTAAAAATATATAGAAGAAATTTATAAATAAAAATATATAAGAATATATAAATAAATAAAAAATATATAAATTTATAAGAAATATATAAGAAAAAATCTATATATGTATATTCTACCACCAGAATAAATTCGGGTGGTGGAATATACATATTATATAGATTTTTTTAAAGTTATGTTAATTGACCCTGAGCTGTCGAAAGAGTGTTAAAGTTATAAAAATGAAAGCGAGTTAGCATGAATCGACTTGTTACTAATAATTTGATAGGAAAAAAAACTTTTATGCTACAAATTAAGTAGAGCGTATTTCCCTCGGGCAGCAATAATACTCGATACCTATCTACACGTAAGGGTGTAAAAAGTTTCCTAGCAATAAAAGCGACTATATTTTTTACATAAATATTAAATTTATTTTACAGAGTATCTTTTGCTATAGTACACCAAACACTCATCCGTTCATATCAGATAAGGAATTGAAATATCTAAATGAAACGGTTACAAGTTCAGAACAATCCAATGTAAGGGATCCTGTACCGTGGAAGGCAATAGTTAGATCTGTACCGGCCTGGGCCCTATTGTTCGCTGCGGTAAGTAATTTCATTTAAGCCTTTTCTTTAAATCCCTAACGAACATTGAAAGAAAAATGATAAAATTATTGTTTGTTTATTTTATGATGAAATATTATCAATACTAAATAAATTATATAAAGTGCCAAAATATTTTATAATCATCGCATACACAGCAATTCTGTAACTTTTAAAGTTATTATAATAAAAAAGAAGACCCGAAACAAATGTAGTGTAGAGGTGCAAAGAGAAAAGTGTTGATCTATAAAATGTAGTTTTGTTTGTGCAAAATCATGTTGCTTGCAAGATTTTGACGTACATACATAAATATCGACATTTAATAGAAATATGTATATATATATATATATATATATATATATATATATATATTACCAATGCTTCCTATCGAGTGTCCTTATCTCATAGAGGCTTAAGCCAACTTAATCCTGTATATATACTCTATGTAGAGTAACTGCACTTAAAATCTATACAATGTTATATGAGAATAATTTCATTCTATACAGGTCGGCCACGACTGGGGCTACTATACAATGGTGACCGATTTACCAAAATATATGACAGACGTGCTCAAATTCAATATTGCGACAACAGGAACATTAACGGCAATGCCATATCTCGCTATGTGGATAAGTGCGTTTATCTTCGGCTGGGCTTGCGATTTCTGTGTCAAGCGTAAATGGCACTCGATCAAAACTGGAAGGATTATTCATACAACTATTGGTAAAAAATATTTGATTAATTTTAGTATAATAATACTAGAGACTGTACCTTGCTTCGCTCGGGTGCTTCCCTAGGTGACTAACAGAAGATCTATATGATACGCTAGGACATGTAAAATCTGTCAACCCACATTCATTTAGCGTAATGTATTATGCCCTGAGACTGTTTAGATTAAGAACGCCCGTGCCCAGCAGTGGGTCGTAAAGAGAGTCAATTTTCTTTTATGTATTCATAATATTATAAAGAGGAAACATTTGATTTTTTGTTTGTTAGTACCGAATAGGCTCCGAAACTACAGAATCGATTTAGATGAAATATGGTAAAAAGATAGTTTATGACTCCAGGAAGGATATAGGATAGTTTTTATCCCGGAAATCATCCTTTAAGGGGTTAAAAATGGGGATGAAAGTTTGTATTGGGACTAGGGACGACTCCGAGCGAAGCGAGGGTGACTAGCTTGTAATAAATATAATATTTTTTTATAATATAGTAAATTTTATGATATATCTAACATTTTTCTATTTTGTTTAATTATAGCCGCGACTGGACCAGCTATCTGTATTATATTAGCCTCATATGCCGGGTGTGATAGATTCGCAGCCGTCGCATACTTTATTGCATCCATGGCTTTAATGGGGGGCTATTATAGTGGTATGAAGGTGAGTTACATTTTATATCCTCCTATATTTTCTGACGTTTCACATTATCAGGACTTTTATGTATCTCCCTGAAGGCAGCCAATATGTTTTATCGCAAACTCTATGTGATCGCTCCGTAAATGTAGCGCAGTTTACGCATTCATAGCTCTACAAAGGCGACGTGACATGAATATTGGATGCTACTCAGCGTTTTTCATTTTATGGGAATATATATATTTTAACAGAAAATATTATGGTTATAAGTGAAAAATATATGTGTATCAAGTCTGAGTCACATTGTCGTAGGTAAAAGATGTACGTAATAACCATTGGACGATCGCAAGTTTTGTTTTTCTAAAAAAAATTATGTGAACATATACATTTATAAACCCATTAAAGTTTAATTACAATTAAACTGATTACTTATTAATTATTAAACTTAACTTATTGGAAAATTTAAAGAATTTAGAATGATATAAGTAAAGCAAAGAAAAACGGTTTTTTGATATTTACAGATTGCTTTGATTTCCTTGAAAATGTAAATTATACTAATATTATTTTTTATAGGTTTTTATTTTTTTTATAACAATTCACAACATTGATATATATTTTTTAGGTAAACGCATTGGATTTGGCACCTAATTACGCTGGATCGTTAACCGCTATGATCAATGGAACATCAACTATATCGGGCATTATAACACCTTATCTAATAGGATTATTGACTCCTGATGTAAGTATAATTAGTACTTAACACTGATGTTTGAACATTGCTCACTATAATATGTACGCACTAAGTACAAATATGTTAGAGAATAAAAATGTTCTTGAGGACAGTTAACAAAATATTTGCAACGAAATATATGTCCATTATATTATTAGATGGTAATACAAGTATACATCACCATACTACAATTTATTGTATGGCAACATAAAAATTAACAATATATTCTTGCAAAATTATAACCTTTATATTTTAATAGTCAAGAAAATTAACAAAAAAAAAACGAAATAGATAACTAAATGAAATCTATTTAGTTGATAATCCTGTAAAAACAATACGAGAGGGATAGAAATATTAATAAATTCTTATTAGTTGAAAAAACCAACCAAACCAAAATAATTTTAGAATACTAAAACTTTTGAAAAATCACACATACCATTTCTATCTAAATTTCTTTACTTAAATAACTGTTCATAATATTTAATATTTTTTGCAATTTAACATCAGGAAAGAAAGTAACTTATACTAAATAAACAAGCTGATCCTTTCGTATTATTATATAAAAGATACTACAAAGTTATAAGTGAAGCTTGAAAGTATGGATATCATGCAAGAACAATGTAAACTCCACAAGGCCGTATAAATTTAATGTCATCCTAAGATCCTATCAATTTTCTTCACTTAAGTAATAACTTTTGCTTAAAGTTGCTGCACGCAGATAATAGTTGGGTCGGAATTGTTATTTCAAAGTTTCCAAAGTATAGTTAGTTCTGATATAGAACTTGAGATTAATGATAAACCAACCGAGTTCGAGACTGTGCGAGTGACACAACATGGATTTTGTCTAAATATTAAATTATTATTTGCATAAATTAAATTAAATGATGTTTATTATCTGTTTTTTTGTAAAAGAGTTTTGAGTAAATTATTTTTTAAAGTATTTAAATGTTTCTCTAAAATATTTACAGAGTTCTCTTTCAATTTTTTATATTTTTTCCTTGTTTCAATAATCTCACCCGATTTAAAATATCACATAATAATTTTTACTAGCATTAAATTGCTTTGATTTTGTTTAACCACCCAAGAAATAGGTATAGAAATAAACAAAAATATATAGTATAGCTTAGAAAATAAAAATATAACCACACTTAATTAAACAAATAAATAATATAAACATCATCCCCAAGTCAACTATACCATATTTGTACATTTTTATTTTATTAGTCCAGAAACCCTACCATACCCCTTTATAAGCACAGAGAAGTGATAAAAAAGCTACATTTTTTGTTGATTTCAACATTACAAATTACACTTAGGTACTTCTTATATTTATTTTCATTGAATTTTATTAAGTCAATTTGTCTTTCAGTCGACACTAAAACAGTGGAGGGTGGCTTTCTGGGTGTGTTTCGCTGTGTTAGTCGGAACAAACGTGATTTACTGCATTTGGGCGGAAGGCACGCAACAATGGTGGGACGATGTCCGAAAATACGGATATCCCGCTGACTGGAAACACGGACCTTTAAAAACTTACGACGATGATAAGGAAAAAAGTAAAAAGAATGAAACTAAAAATTCTGCTCTATAGTGATTTAATTATTGTAATGTTATTTAAATTATCAAATTAAACTATTTAATCGATTATTTTCTATTAATCGATTATTGAATATTTTAGTGACAATTATGTAATAAGTAGAATACTATTAGTAGTACTAATAAGTAAAAATTTTATATCACCGTTTAACAATTTGAAATAAAAATTGTAAATGAACTATTGGAATTAACTGAAAAACAAGACAGTTAGTTGTTTATTGATTAAAAATACAACATTTATATGTAATAAAAATAATTTAAGCATTTTTTTGGCTTATTTGTAATTTTTAAATTATAGTGATTTGATTAAAATTGTTATTAATGCCTAGTTAGTATTCATATATTTTATGGTGCCATTTTGTGATAAACTATTCAATGGTATTTTTAAAGTCGATTGTTATTCAAAATGACTAAAATGTCCTAATATTATTTACATTATATGTATGTTATGTATCATATAGACAAATTATATTTTACTTAATATTTATTTACATTCTTACTCGACTCATATTCTATTTATACACAATGCACATACATCCGAATATGAGTGATGAGGTTAATATTTAATTTAATATCTGTAGGTACAAGAAATTATTATTACCATAGTTTTTTTTTTTTTAATAATAAGTAATGTCTATGATACGAGTATTTTTACCTATGTTTGTACTTAAGTGTTAGATATTTTTACTAGTTGTAAAAATATCGTAATGCGTGCGTTTTAATCGAAAAAAGTTTACAATAGAAGATCTCTATAAATATTTTTATTTATTTTTAGTTTTATACTATAAATAATTAGTATATCATACTATTGCTAAACATAATTTGACGCCTTGATTTAGACGCATAATGTTAAAAATGACTATGCCAACAAAAAATAAACGATGGTCGACAGCAGTTGCGACGGCACCATATATATATACATATATATATATATATATATACATATATATATGCAAGAAATCCTAATTTGTTATTCTTTCAAAAAATTGTTATAAATTATTATTTTTAAATTATATATTGCGTGTGATTTTATTCTTTTTATCAATTTTACATTCATGTTATCTTCCATAATAATTAAAGTTGTCAAAAAGCAAATGTACTTATATTATAATAATTATTTATATTTTAAAGAATGTTACATAAAAATTGTACAAATTATTTGTATTTTGAGCTTTTTGTGATCGAATTTAAAAGTAATAAAAGTGAACATACGAATAAGGTATTTTATTTTTAGTACATTATTGCGATGTAGAAATGATAGAAACTTGAATTTGAAAAAAATTACAATATTGATTTCTTTACTAACACAAGATTGTACGAGGCTTCATAAATCTTTTTTAAAGATTCTATACAGAGTTTTCTTTTACTTTTCTAATAAAAAATAAAAGGATGAAGAATAGCTTGGCTTTTAATATTTTATGTATTAATAGGCCCGCTAAAGGCCTTTTTTTAATTCGATACCCGAAATATATCCATTATATAATATATGAACTCTTATTTGATGGTTTCGTTTTAAGGAATCCTTGTTTGGGAACTACCGCACTATATATATATATATATATATTTTAGACCACCAGGTCTAGTGATATGAGTTGGGCGATCATCAATCAGCCAGGATAAGCTTACAATATACACAAAACTTTGAAGATAAAAGCTCGCTGACGTGTGGACAACCACTTTAATATATTTTTTTATATAAATGCGATAAACGTATTTTACAAAATGTAACTAAAATTAATTCATCTGTATGTGAGTCTAAATACTCACTTCTACTTCTTACTACTACTTCACAATATTAAGGCTACGAATAAATAATAAGTATATTTATTAGTTGTATTAAGCTCATATAGTGATTAGCACGATTCTTAAACTTGAGCAATCGTATATATAAAAATAGTTTATTTGAGTACATATATATGGAAACGCCAGAACTGGATTCAAGATATTTTCACTGTACATTTATAACCTATAGAACTACAGACAAGTAAAATATAGGCTACTTATAATTTTGGGAAAATATATGGGGTTTCTCAAGAATCTCAACTATTATAACAACTTTAACAATTTTAATGGTACTTTTAAACGTGGGTGGAGGAATTGTTCGAAAGTGAGGCAAGCAAATTTTTATTACAGTAAAATAAAAAAATTGGTATCGGAGATCATATTTTTATTAGTTTATATTTATATAGTTTTGCATGCACGCCTGTAATTTATTAAAAGCAATTTTTAATGTTTGATTATTTATACATATAATAAAATTCTAAGTCAAATCTGTACATTAAATATTATTTGAAAAATCTTATTAAAATAGACATTATTATCAATACAGAGGCCGAATCTATAGTTTTTAGAATTTTCGTCTGTCTGGCGGTCTCTCTGTTACCGCATCACGGAAAAACCATTGGAGGGATTTTGATGAAATTTGGTATGGTGATAGCTGGTTATTGGGGTCAACATATAAGATACTTTTTACTGCGGGAAAATATCTCATTTTTGAGAAAAAATGCAATAACTGCAATGTAAGAGTATACTAACTGTAAAAGCTAAGAATTTGGTTTTTGGTCATCTAAACGCGGGCGGAGCCGCGGGTGATGCTAGTATGTATTATAAATATTATTTGTCAATATTAAACTTAAAGGTATATATACAAACAAGTGATGTTACAGCGCTTTTGTTACTTATCATATTTTGTTCATCGTCTGGTCATTAAAGAATTAATTGATCGTTACGAAAGCGGTTTACGGACACACTTGATCAGTTTCTTAAAACGATTTCTAATCGCGGAGTATAGGAGGCTTAGACAAGATGTCATTCTGCAATCGTTGTAGAATAAACTCAAAAAAAATATGTTAATTACATATCACAAACGTATGATACATACATATGATGCTATGACATAACGATGCCATTTATAATTTCAATATAATTTTTGAAATTTGTATTCTGTAAGGATTGCAAAGTGTGTGTGTCTCAGCCTAAAAATGTTCACTGCTGGATATAGACCTCTCCGAATCCGGAAATCGCATCAGAGAACAGTGCGGTTAGCCTTAGTTTATGCTCGCAAATTTCCACTTGTTTATTCCATTTTACTGAATGGAACATTTTAGAGTTGTCCATGATTGTAGTAAGCAGTTCTATAAAGCACGGCAATATAAAGACGTTTTTTTTTTAATGAGGTTCTTTATACTTTATACTGTCTTTTACTAATATTTTAGTAAAAGACATAACAAATATACATACAATCTGTATACAAAAATGTAAAAATTAAAATGAAAAAATAAACAACTTAATATATAATATATTCATTGAGGCCTTTTAATGGGGCTAAACACAATATATACGCAGTATTTTAGTGGAGAGTTGAGTATTTTCCAGATTCCAGGTGTTGCTGCAGCATCAGGCCAAGGATACCATATTGTTACAATATCATTGAAGTAACGGTCCCTGGAACAAGACCTTTCCGGGCGCCCACGAAAGCGATGGATGGATGTCGTGAAGCTGGACATGAGATCCAATGGACTTACCCAGGTTGATGTTAAAGACGATGCAAAATGGAGAAGGCTAAGCAGGAAGGCAGACCCTGGCAATAGTTGGGATTATTAATGCCAGGCTGAAGAAGAAGATTGAAGTAACGGGATAGCAAGTTTTGAATGGGTTCAATCTGTGAAAGTTACACATATTATCCTTTTAGCATCTAGGAAAGAGATGATAGCCTGCAAATGGCTGAATCGATTATCTTGATTTATATCTAAGAACACTGTCGATTAAACCACATTTCGATCAAAAATAACTTTTCAATAAAACTATATTAAAATCAGTTCATAGACATGTTAAAATTATAACACTCCCCTTTTGAGTCGGGGGTTTTACCTCTTTCGTTTTTTTTAAAAAAGACTTCAGCCGTTTCCATATAAGGCAGATATAAGATAGAATAGCAATACAATACTCTCCAGGTTCATATACAAATAAAATATTTTGTAAATGTTTTTATAGCTAACATTCTCATTAGACCGTCCACTACCGCGGACATGCCGGCGTTACAGTTAACAATAGATTTCTTAGAAATTTAATTAATTTCTTAGAAATTTACCTCGAGGTATTAATATATATTTTTTAAATTATACAATTTACGTGCTAAAACTTAAAAGTATTGTTACAAAGTTAGGTCATAATATTAATATAATATTTATTAATATCGTTAATATTCTAACCATAACAGTTAAACGAGCTGCTTATGAACAGCAACAAAATATATGCAACGTCGTGTAGGGAATACAAATTAATGGATTAGCCTTGAATGTCTTTAATTATGTATAATGTGTCTAATATTTGCATGCTTGTTGCTGCTTAGTGTTGTATTATTCACTAGACGTTGACCACGACATATTTTTGTCGCTTACACATTTAAACACCCTAAGTAAAGTGATACTTTTTTAAATGGACTTGTTGTCTCTATTGTATTAAGACTTTAAATTAACTTATATCAGTACCGCTACTCCATGCATGCCCACAATAACTTACCAAAGTTTTGTAATATCCAGAAGAAAAGTTGAGGAGATAGCGTAGCATTTCGCGTAGTCATTATACCGAATGTAATTTATAACAATATTAGCTCTACCTCTTCCTCCTGTACAATAAACCTCGTAGTATCAACTATTTTGAACTAAAAGCGCTAGGTATGAAGTTTTTTATCTTAAAGATTAACAAAACAAAAATTGTCCAAATCGGTTAATAAATGACGAAGTTCTGAGGTAACAAATATAAAAATAAAATACAGTCGAATTGAGAACCTCCTCCTTTTTGAAGTCGGTTGAAAATAAAAATCGCGATCAGCTTAATATTTGTGGCTGGCTATAAAGATCGTTAGTTCATTTGCCAAAGCATTGCAATGCTTAGATACGTTGAGTATATGCTGCGTATATTATATTATATGTTATGAAATACGACTCCACGACCGCGGACACTCCCTCCGGTGTCAGTTAACAATAGATT